TTAATTGTGCTCATGAGCAACCTGTTTGTAGACCAGGAGGCTGTCATTACAGAACAAGGGGATACTGCATGGTTTAAAAAGAGGAAAAGTGTGTCAGTGTTGTATACTTTCACCATACTTATTCACTCTGTATGCTCAGCAAATAATCCCAGAAGCAGGACTATATGAAGAACACAGCATCAGGATTGGAGGAAGACTCATTAACAACTGACAATATGCAGATGACACAACCTTGCTTGCTGAAACTGAAGATGACTTGAAGCACTTACTGATGAAGATTAAAAACTACAATCTCCAGCGTGGATAACGTCGCAACATAAAGAAAACGACAGTCCTCACAACTGGACCAGTAAGCACCATCACAGTAAATGGAGAAAAGATTGAAGTTGCCAGAGATTTCATTTTACTTGGATCCACACACAACACCCATGGAAGCAGCAATCAAGAAATTAGACATCAAATTGTCTGGGCAAAATGACTGCAAAAGACCCTTTAAAGTGTTGAAGAGCAAAGGTATCACTTCAAGGACTAAGATGCACCTAACCAAAGTCATGGTATTTTCAGTCACCTCAAATGCATGTGAAAACTGGACAATGAATAAGGAAGACCAAAGAAGAGTTAATGCTTTTGAATTATTGTGTTGGCTGAGAATACTGAGAACACCATGGACTGCCAGAAGAATGAACAAATCTATCCTGGAAGAAGTATAGCCAGAATGTTCCTTGGAAGCAACAACGGCCAGATTTCATCTCACCTCCTTTGGCCATGATGTCAGAAGGGACCATTCCCTGGAAAAGGTTGTCATGCTTGGTGAAGTGGAGGGTCAGTGAAAAAGGAGAAGACTCTCAACAAGATGGACTGACACAGTGGCTGCAATGATGGGCTCAAATGCTCAAATATAGCAAGGATTGTGAGGATGGCACACAATTGGGCAGTGTTTTGTTTTGTTGTACATAGAGTCACTGTGAGTTGGAGCTGACTTGATGGCACCTAACAATAACACCACCACAACGGTGTGACTGATTGATTAATTGATTTGCATTCCCCAGAAGTATTCCAGACTCAGGTTATCAGACACAATCATAGGGTGATTAGCCTATGCTCTAGATACCAAAGGCAGTCATCTTAGTGGGCAGCTTTTCACGAAGGTATATAAACAAAAGCACCCCATACACCCTCACTCCCAACTTTGATGTCTTGAGAGAGGATAATTGCTGCTGTTGTGTTGGAAGCATCTGTTTCAGTAATAGAGTTAGGGCAGGAAAAATAGACCAGGGTGTGGGTAAAGCTAGATCAATTCTTGATGTTCTAGAGGCTGGTGCTTTGACTAGGATCAAAACAAAGTACATTTTTTTTCTTAATAGTGAAACTGTGAATTTGGAAAAGTGATACATGATCTGCAAATAACCACAAACCTCTGGAAGTCTTTGATGAACTGGAAATCTTGCAATTTAAGAATATCAAATTCTTAAAAAATACTCAAATTTTAAAATAAATAAAATAAAAAACACTAGAACTGCCCCCAGGGTTTCCAAGGCTGAAATCTTTACAGAATAGACTGTCACATCTTTTCTCACAGAGCAGCTTCTGGGTTTAATTAAACTACAGACTTTTTGGTTAATAGCCGAGTACTTTAACCACTGGGCCACCAGAGCTCAAAATATGATAGTAGGAGTCATCAAAACAATTTGGAAAGATAAGTGTCAGTTTTTGATACTCAAGTTTTTTAATATGTATTTCTTAGGTTTGACCATTCTTCTAGATAGCCTTGGTTGTCCCAACCAGAGTCTCATGTACCTAAAGTTTGTTTTCACAGGTTCCAGTCGCACAGAGGATAAATGGGCAAACTTGTTTAAAGAACCAGGATTAGTGCCCCTCCTCCCACTTGAGTGTCTTTTCCCTGTTCAACTCCCCTATCTTTCTAATCCTAGATCCTTTATATGAACTTTCCAATTTGTATCTATTTCCCTACCTTTTTTCCATACTTAGCTCTGGGAAGTTGTAATAATTTTCCACTTCTGTCTTTAGCTCTGTACAATGTATTAAATCAACTTTGTAAAATTCCATTTTCCTTTGTTTGCTTGTTTATATATATATATATATTTTTTTTTTCATTTAAACCTCAAAATAATTTATGCAGCTGGGACTTTTGGACAACAGACATTTCAGGATTTTGTAAACTCTTCAGATAATTGAGATATCATTTCTGTAGAACTTTTAAAACATTGTCCCAACTAGAGAGAAATTATTTAAAGCATTTATAACATCAGTGTTTTAGAGGGTAAATTTTGCTATAAATTTAAATGAAACGTTTAAAATCCACTCACATTTAAATTACAATCTTTTGTTTTAGGAACAAAGGAATTAATTTCAGAAGAGACTGTTTTTTGGGAGAAGGGGAGGATTGCATCTCCAAACTGAGTACTTCCTCAAGTCTATTTTCTTAATTAAATCATTTTATTGAACAAATTGAGAAGCTAATAACTCTATTATTTAAACAGATATAAAAATTAAGACTATTTTCCTAATGAAATGTTGTCTGTTTTTTTGTAGTGGAACTTTGAGGAGAAGGCCTTATAAAGGTGGATTATATTGTACTGAATGTGGCAGCAGTGACACATGCACAGATTTTTTATGCAGTAAGATAAAGAAATAATTTAAATGGGAAAAGGAAAATATATCCATAGTGCGCTGGACAAGAAAAATTAAGTGATTGAACACTAGTTTTTCATTGCCATGTTACTACTATTCCTTTGATCAGAATGCTCTTATTACATGTCAGTAGAGGGCTGAAACAGAATCATTTTTAGAGTTTTCTAATCTATACAGCTTCTTCTACCCTCCTTTCTCCTCTTCCTGCCTCTAAGAGCATACCAGAATGTTGGGACGAATGAATGAGAACTAACAGCTATACTCTGAGAAAAAGTACCACAGTTAACAACTCTCTTAAGAGTGAAAACTGTTTGGGAACGACTGCTCTAAGGGATGGGTTATCCTGAAAATATATATAAAGAGAAAGGAAGTAGACTAGCAAATGTTTAATAGCCTTTTCTTTCAGTTATTTTTTTTAAAAAAAAAAACCAGCAACAACTAAAATCCCCCAAAATATTCAGGAAGGAAAAAGACAGAAAATATGTTTGGTTAAATATTTCTTTAATTTTCTCAAACGTAAATGCATATAATCCAAAAGTATAAGGATTTTGTAAACTCTTAAGATAATTGAGATATCATTTCTCCAGAACTTTTAATATATTTGTCTCAACTAGAGAGAAATTATTTCTCTCTAGAGAAATAGTTCTTAGAGGAATATGATAAAGGGTAGAATCAGACAGCAGGTAAGAGACATAGGACGCTTTTGTGCGTATTATACTTTTAAAGTGAATCTACTCCTTTATCATTTGTTTGGTGACAGGGATGGTCCTAGGCCCACGTCACAAAGTGATCAGTAATTTCTCAGAACCCTGATCTCAAGAAGCTCACAGGCAATCACGTTACTCTCTTCATTACTCACTTTATTCAAGGCCAGTCCCTTATTTTGTGTCAAGCACCTACCAAACTCTCCTGGAGCCCCCTGAGAGTTGGGAAGATAAGAGTATACATAGAAGACCATCAGAGAACAGTCTGAGAGTTTTAAACAGAGAACTAGGTTGTAAAGTAGAGACAAGATGCTCCAGAAATTCAGAGAAGAAGGGATCAGCATGGGTTGGATTAATAAAATAGAAATTGTAGAAGGGATTGGCATTAGTTTAAGCCTTGAAAAATAGACAGTAATAATAATGATATTCAAAAAAACCAAACTCATTGCCATCCAGTCGATTCCAACTCATGGTGACCCCATGTTATACAGAGTAAAATTGCTCTATAGGGTTTTCTTGGCTGCAATCTTTATGGAAGAAAATTTCCAGGCACTTCTTCCACAGCATAGCTGGGTGGATGGGTATGAACTGCCAACCTTTAGGTTAATAGTTGTTATAAATTGAGTTTTGTCCCCCCCAAATGTGTTGGAATCCTAACCCCCTATACATGTGCATGCAGTCCTACCTGGGAATAGGGTTTTCTTTGTTAATGAGCTATATCAGTGTAGATTTTATTTTATGCCAATCACTTTTGAGATATGAAAGGAATAGATTAGGCACAGAAGCAAGTAAACATAGAAGATAGATGTCACACTAGATGAAGATGATCAAGGAACAAATGAACAGAAGCTGAAAAGAAACAAGGACTTTCCTTCTCCTAGAGCCAACAGAGAGAAAAAGACTTCCCCTAGTGCTGGTGCCCTGAATTCAGACTCCCAGCCTCCTAACTATGAGAAATAAATTTCTGCTCTTTAAAGCCCAAAACTAAATAAATAAATACAGTGAATCCACTTCAACATTTCTATCTTTGCTTTACTTGGATTGTAATACAAAGTCTTGCTCTTGCTCCTCCTCTTTCTCTTCCACATCTCACCCTCTTCCAGAAAAATTCTGTCCTAAAATCTTTACACATAGGTCAGAGCTGCAACACAGAGGAATAGCCAGATGTTGTGTATTAAAAACGTGAGTAGAATGAAGAGGGATCCACACGGGATGCAGCAGGCATAGGGAGACAGCCTAAGCAGGTGAGGACAGTGTTGACATGGGTTGTAGCCTGGTATAGGAGGTCAGAGCCCTTGTGGAGTAATTCATGTGCTCATAGCTGAGGTAGGCTTCAGGTATCAGACCTGGAGCAGAGTAAGAGGTATCTTATACAGCGGGTAGTTTGACATGTGGTATCTGAACCCAAACAAGATGAGGAGAACATTGGCATGGAGTGGGAAGGACAGCCTGGCATAGGATGTCAGACTGGGCAGATAAGGAAGGCATCCATGCAGGGACAGTCTAGCAATAGATGTTGGAGCCCAAGTAGGATGAGGAGAACTTTCACCAAGAGGTACCCTAGCATGAAGTGTCAGAATCTTAGCAGGTAAGGGACATCCATGCTTATGGGGATCCTGGTGTGGGATGGCAGTCCAATTAGGTGACGAAAACTTCAATGTAGGTAGGAGGGGTCAGAGCCCAAACGGGGTAAAGAAAAAGTCCACAAATTGGAATAACCTAAAACTGGATTTCACAATCAAAGCAGTGGGTAGAGACACCAAGAGGAGAGCCAGCCTGTAGGTTGCCAGATTAAATGCAGGGTGACTATTAAATTTGAATTCCAGATTGGTGGTGTTATTGGGGGCCATCGAGTTGGCTCTGGCTCACGGCAACCTTAGGTATCATAGCAACCTTATTTACAACAAAAGGAAACCTTGACAATTCTGTGCCATCCTCAAAATCATTACTATATTTGAGCCCATTGTTACATCCACTGTGTCAATCCATTTCACTGAGGACTCTCTCCTTTTTGCTGACCTTCTACTTTACCAAGCAAGGTGTCTTTCTCCAGTGATTTGTTCCTCCTGATGACATACCCAGAGTGAGATGAAGTCTCACCATCCTTGCTTTTAAGGAGAATTCTGGCTGTACTTCTTCCAAGACTGATTTGTTTGTTTCTCTAGCAGTCATGGTATATATAATATTCTTCACTAATACTTTAATTCAAATGCATCAATTCTCCTTTGATCTTCATTATTCATTGTCCAGTTTTCATGTGCTATGAGGTGATTGAAAACACCATGGCTTGAGTCAGGTGCACCTTAATCTTCAAGGTGACATCTTTGCTTTTTAACACTATAAAGAGGTTTAGTATAAGTATATCCTGAATATTGCATGGGATATACTTAATTACATGGGATATACTTACACTAAACATTTGTTGTTTTCTTAAATTCAGATTCAATAGCCATCCTATGTTTGTTAGTCACTAAATCTGGCGAGTCTAACATCTGGTGTGGGGTTCCAGAGCTCAAGCAGAGTGAGGAAGGC